CACCGCTGAACCCCTCCCATGAGTGTTGGGGGGTCACCGCTGAACCCCTCCCATGAGTGTTGGGGGGTCACTGCTGAACCCCTCCTGTGAGTGCTGGGGTCACTGCTGCACCCCTCCCGTGAGTGCTGGGGTCACTGCTGCACCCCTCCCGTGAGTGCTGGGGTCACTGCTGTTCTCTCCTATTGGGGTTTGATAGGTACCTGTGTTTGAACACTCGGACCTAGCAGTTGGCACTGCTTCAGAAAGTTGGGGGACCTCTAGGGACCTTGATGGAGGACAGGGTCACTGGGGTGGATGGGCCTTAAGGTTTGATAGCTGACCCCCACTTCCTGTGCTCTCTCAGCTTCTGACTGTGGTGTAGTGTGAGCAGCGGCCCATGCCCCTGCTGCCATGGTTTCTCTACCATGATGGACTCCTCCTCCTCCTCAGACCCTGAGGTGACAAGCCCTTCCTCCTTCAAGTTGCTTCCTGCAAGGAGAAAGGTAACACATGCCCCCACTTTCCAGACGACCCCTTATCTTTCTGGGGTCTGACACCAGTCCCTCGAGTCTGGGCACATTGTAAGATCAGGATACCCAAGGCTGAAGCATAGAAGGAATTTTTTCTAATGCTAAACCCTCAAGTGTGGGCTGGGAAGAGGCCGCCTGGTAGGGTCCAGCAGAGGTTCTGTCCAGACATGAGAGGGGGATGGGCTGGGGGGTTTGGGGAAGTGAGCGGAGAAGGCCGTGAGCGGAGAAGGCCGTGAGCGGAGAAGGCCGTGGCCAGTGGCTGGCAGGAGCATGAGTACTGGAGACCAAACAGAGACACAATCCTTGGAGAAGGATGGAGGAACCTTAGTGGCTGGGTCTTTGGGGTTTTTTTCTTAATTCTTATTATGTTTTATTTATTTTGTGTTATATGTGGGCACGAGTGTGTGTAAGTGTGCAAGTCCTGTGTGTATATACATATGTAAGCCCTGTGTGCGTATGTGTGTGTTTGAGTCCTGTGACAGAGCATGTGTGTGTGCGTGTATATGTATGAGTCCAGTGACAGTGTGTCTGTGAAAGACCCGTGAGCATGAGTGTGTCCAGTGACAGTGTCACAGTGTCCAGTGACAGTGTGTATGTTTAGTAAAAGTCAGCTCTGGATCTGATTTGGGGGTCATTTCTAAAGCTGTGCTAAGCCTTGGTTCCTGACCACTGTCCCTTCTGACCCCTCCACCCTTTTCCACCGACCACTGACTCATCACTGCTCAGGCTGGGGCTGGCAGAGAGTCCTGAATGTGGAGATCCTGTGCCATTTTCCTCAGGCTTAGTTAAATAACTGTCCTGACAAAACACTGGCTGGGGAGAGAGGAACACATGAGCTGGCGTCCAGAGTCAGATTAAAGCCACATGTCACCACCACCGTCACTTGTCACTGTGACCGTGGGACTCTGCTGTTTCCCAGAGTCAGACCCCGGCAGGGAACATGGTTTGGGCCTGGGCCTGGGAAAGGCCCAGCCACAGAGCCACCAGGCGCACAGGGACCCTCTCCTGTCCAGATCTGTGGGGCTCAGGAGGCTGAGCTGTCCCTTCCTGCGGGCCGAGTCCCAAGCTGTCTGTCCCCAAGGCCACCAGCTGGCCAGGCTCCAGTGCTCATCCCCTTGGGGGCTTGTGATTTTCTCTCCACATCAACAACTCCAAGGCAGGAAAGGGCTTTCACCCCTGTAATTTCTGGCTCAGCCAATTTAAAGGAAGTAAAGCTAAGGAATGAAGCTGAACATTCACTTGGTGTTCCCTGTGTGCCTTGGACTGTTTGAGGGACTTACGTTAACTCACTGATCCTTGTGCCAGAGTTATGAGCCAGAGACTAGTGCAGTTACTTATCCATTGGCCCATTTTACAGGGAAGGAGAGTGAGGCCCACACAGGCATCAAGGGCAGCACCAGGCACAAACCCAGGCTGCCTGGCAGAATTGCTGTTATATCCCAGCAAGCTCTTCCAGATTGAACTCGTGGAGATTATGTTGGGTTTCAGGAATGGACCGGCTCTGAATGGAGATTTAACTGTTTGGGACTGGCCAGCTCATCTGCAAAGGGAGACATAAATGAGACCAGATGTGTATGGTAACCCCTGGGCACCAAGGCAAAATCACTGACGGAAAATAAAAATGTTTTGAGCTACACATTCATTCAAAACAAAAGCTGCTGTTTCTTGTCTGTGTTGTTCCTTAATTTCTATAAGCAGAAAACTAACAATATCAAATTAGAAATGCCAGGATCCTTTTTGGGCATATTTGAGAAGCAACTTCAGAAGCAGTTTCTAATTATCTATAGTATTCAAAACAAACAAAGACAGGAGAACCAGGCAGGTTCTACACTTCCTGATTGTTCCAGAACCAGCTCAGCATTCAGGACTGGAGCCCAGAAAGTGAAAAACATCTGGCCAAGGTGGTGAGATGCCTGTGCCCGACAACAACCTCTGACTGCTCACATGCCCTGCACCAGGCTCTCTCCACGCCCTACCATGCATACGCTGGATAGTGACCTTGTTACCAGAAACATCCAGACCACAGGATTGAAGGACTGTATTCAAAATCAGCTGACTGACTAGTATGTGGCTGGCAGGATTTAATTGTTTCCCAAGATAATACACTTCTCCCCACCACAGAATGGTGGGGAGGCTTCAGGTCCTGAAAAGCAGGGGTGAGTTTATAGAGGGCCAAACATGGGAAAGCCACCTCTGTGGGTGTCTTCAAACAGCTTCCCTGTCCCTTCACACCGCCCCTTCCCTAGGCATCCCCAGGCTTCACACGGACTGAGTGTGATATCTGAGATTTCACCCAGCCCTACCCCAGGCCTCATGAAGTCCCAACTTCACACAGCTGCTTCCCTAACCTTCATGCAACCCTGTAACTTCACACACTTTCTGCTACTTCACAGCCCCTTCTCCAAGCTTCACATGGACACTTCCCGTGACTTCTTCACACAGCCCTCTTCCCTAGCCTTCGTAGAACCGAATCAGCTACAGAGCACTGGAGATAGCTGACAGCACCCTGGAACCAAGAGGCTCCTGGGTGAATCTGAAGAATCACCAACACTGACCTCAGCAGCCAAGAGAGTCACCTCAGAAATCAAGGAATGCACCCGTGGCCATCTCACCCTGAATGTTCCCAATTGCCCATTCTGGTCTGATCTTGGAGGGGTTGGGCCTGGTTACCGTGTGAATGGAAGACCTAAGTCACCCAGACAGAGTCCAGGGGCCTTTGAGTAAGCCAGTCACAGTCTAGTGAACTTTCATCCTCAAGCACTCAGAAATGAAAACCAGAGGAAATGGCCAGGAAACAAGGAGTGTGGGGGTGCTGGGCGTTGCTCTCAAGAGCAAGAGGGCTGGGAACTGTTGTGACCCAGTGTCCTTCTAACCCAGAGCCATCCAACCAGAACTGAAGCAAATCACACCTGAAATTTAGTGTTCTCATAACTGGGTGTGGTGGCTTACAGCTATGACCCCAGCACTGAGAGTTTGAGACAGGAGGATTGCTGTGTATTTGAGGCCAGCGTGGGCTATAGAATGAGACAGTCTCAAAAGTAACAAGCCCAGCAGCTTCTACCCAAGACAGCAGCAATATGTGTCTTTTTCAAAAGCCTGGGGAAGTATAGCTCCCTGCTACCAGTGGTCTCCCAGAAGTCCCCAGTACAACAATGTTGTGTGCAGCATGAACTAACTAATGCATGCATTCTGCCTTTGATCAGCTAAGAACTGAGCTTCCGTGGCCATTGGGCCAGTGAGCAACTCTGTGGGTAAAGGCACCTGCCACCAAGCCTGAGGACCTGAGTTCAATTCTCAGGACCCACATGGTAGAAGAGAACCAACTCTTACAACTTGTTTTCTGACCTACACACACACACACACACACACACACACACACACACAGTCATCCACAAAATAAATAAATGTATATTTTTAATATTTTTATAATTTATTTTATGTGCATGAATGTTTTGTCTGCATCATGTATGTATGTGCACCGTGTGCATACCTGGTGCCTATGGAGGCCAGAAGAGGGCGTTGGATCTCCTGGGACTGGAGTTACAGATGTTTGTGAACTGCCAAGTG